GTTTTCAAACATCGATGTTTTTAAGAGCGATGTTGCATCCCTACAAGTAGCTAGCGCATCGGCCTGCCATTGCTTTTCCTAATAGCTTTCTGTAAAAATCCAGACCCGAATTTGGAATCACTCATGTGTCTGAAATCACGTCATGTGTTATAGTAAAGAAATTCTATTGTTATATTTTTCTATAAAAATACAAAACAAAATTGATTGAACGTATGTATCTCAGACATTCAATTCCTATGTCATTTCGAAACTCATTTCACTTTTGCCACGAAACGTTGTTACCTTTTGAAGTGAATTCGGAGATCTGCTTTCTTCTTTTTATGGATTTTTACAAAATTGCATATGTGATACATAACATAAGACGCGTGATCATATTTTTCTATTTGATCACTTTTACATTGATTGTGCTATATTTAAAAAAAATTATATATTTTGCAAGTACGTTTCTTTATAATTTTAATATCATTTAAATAATACTTGAGTGATTAGATGCCCAATGAGGAAGTATTTAAAAAAACATTAGTTCTCGTAATCAAACTAGATGTCGCTACGGTACTTTCTTGATTTCTCCATGACAACCCCTCCGGTTTTCTTTCATGTATAAAAGTAATTAATTTTCAAAACTCAATAAACAACTCATATTCTATTTGTACTATTTCTATTGATATCTAATATTTTTCTATAAAGTTATTCTAATGTTAAATTATGTGTAATGTTAAATTAGAGTTAATTAGTTAAATTAGACTACACTCGAATAACGACAACGGCAGTACCTATCCGGGAGTGTTGTAAGGTCTTTGGTGATTTAAAAGAGGCACAACGTACTTGGCGAAGTCATTTACTACTGCGGACGGTGAAATACCACTTTTAGCTTTAACATTAAACATCGAGATTAAGGTTCTATACAAAGATATTAAAATCCTTAATCTTCAGGTAGTTTTCATCGAATAGTTTAGTATTCGTACGAAATATAATCTATAAAGTAAAACAATAAAAAAGGCAGCATAAAACGCCTGTTTAACATGTAACTATTAATTTTATTATCTCTTTTTCCATAGAACTCATAGAACGCCGGTCCCAGAAATTAATAGTAAAATTTCATCAAATCAGCCAGAGTGGAGTCCCCAGTTCGCGCTGGAACGCCGCCGCTGATGAACATTGTTGCGTCCCGCCCTTTTGCGCCCGTTGCACCTCCGGCGCGCGAGACGACGACGCTGTGCTAATACTATAGTTATATCTATTTGTAGTTTATATCGTAATAAAGTAATTTTTGAATAAAAAATACCGAATTAATAATAATGCTTTTTATTACCTAATCTTCCTATACTGTTTATGGAGTGACAGAAAATACAATATAATAAATACATGTGTGTTACATAAACTAATTTGCACTTAATTTCATTAACTTGTAGCAAATAAGAGATTTTTCAACTTTATATATATTTCAATAACACGATTTAACGCGAGTTACAAATATAACATCTTTTGATATATTTTTTTAAATAATGGCGTCTGCAAAATCGTGCTTGGATCCGTGGGCAGAGAAACTGTGCTGTCAAAACTTTCATTTAAAATTAAAAGTAAATCTTATAAGGCATATATGGCAAGGTAATAGACCAATTTTTAATTTTTTCCCTTAGTATAAAACACTTCTTCTTGACTAGTATATAATTTATTTTGTAACGTTTACATCTTCACTTCTTCAGCAGGTATTTCATTATTTGGAAACGTATTTTATGTTATAGTAGACACACTCTTTTAAGCAATACATTGTCTAGAATTATAATTACTTGTACTAGGCATACCGGCGTCTTCATGAACTGAATTTTAAAAAATCCTGATATTGTTGCTGAATTTTATATCTCACTCCACCTGTTATTTTCTCCACGAATTAATTCATCTCATTGTAAAAATGCACATACTTAATGCAAATATGGTTTTCTCGTAAATTCCATTGCCAGTTTGACCTCTGTGTTATCTATTATTATTTATCTTACAATACTACGGACTATTACTTTTTTATATTTTCCATTAAGAATATTTCTATCTTTTATTTTGAAAGTTTCTGAATTCTTCTTATTAATATGACATTGACAATAGTCCGCCCAGCTCACTGTGGACTGGGTGACGGCTGAAAATCGGTGCTTCACCCATTCTTGGGTGATTTACGTGCACCGAGCCTTGACCCTTATCTTACTGCTGCACACAGGTATATCACATACATCATTATATTATTATGTAGTTGTGTGTTGTTGTCTGAATAAACTATTTATCTATCAGATCTGGACCAAATTAAAATTCGACCACACAGCACTAGCACTAGCTTTCAACTAGAGAAAGAATCATCAAATCGATCTACCCAGAAAAAAGTTATGAGGTAACGAATAGGAAAAAATACAGTCAAATTGATAATCTCCTCCTTTTTTTTCATGTCGGTTAAAAAACATTCCTCCTCCTGCCAAAACCATTAATCGGAGTATTGGAAACAAAGTCCCGCCGCTCGTAGTATATCGAAATACCGGTCAGAGGACTGGGAAACCAAAAAAAAAAATCACCAGACCTAGACGCTCAAGCTGGGATTCGAACACATAATAAAATATTAAAAACATTTTTAAGAAAATTCTTTTCAATTGTCCAATATTATAATATTATTTATTACACTACTACCCATACAAGGCAGCTTGAATGATAATAATTATTAATAAAACACCAAAAATTGACAATAAAAATATATTTTATTATTTGGTTACAATAATACTAACGTTCGTAAAAAAAAAATACAGTCCTTGATGACAAATCGGCGAAATTTTTTTTTCCCTATAATGCTTTAGGGAAAAACCCTTACAACTCATATTAAAATCACTTATACAAAAAGTAAAGATAAACTAAAATTTTGTTGCTATAATTAATACTTTTACAAAAATTCGCTAGTATCTATCTGTCCTTGGCATGATTTTAATAAACAATAACACGTATAATGACCATTGTCACAGTAAGATATGTCTGTTAAAGTGGGGCCGCCAAACTCTAGTCATACTATACGACTACTCAGATTTATATATATTTACAGCTAGTAATGGCATAAGATATTGTGCAAAAAAATTGTGCTAGTGTGAAAAAAAAAATAGAACAGAAAGTATCTGTCGGTCTTTGTGCCGCCACACGTTAATTACATACCATAAAAGTTACAAACAGTAAAAAAGTTAATAACTTTTTTCTAAAAAAATATAACAAAAGTTATGAAACAGTGTCATCGTAAAATTCTAGAAAACATTATATAACTGCTGTGTGGGAGCACCTTAAGTTCCTAGCTTCAACTGTAGCCAGAACTATAAGAAACATGATTTTATCAATGAATATGTATAATTATTGATATTATTATTATTTATTTATTTAATTAATGATTTTGGTGGTTTTAGTTGTCTCAATTATATATTAAGTTTGGCTAAATTAAAATAGTATTCGAATTTAATATACAAACAAAGCGATTTCAAAAACCGAAATAAACCAAAATGTTTGATTAAATATAGTTAAAAAATAAACCTTTTTAAATAATACATATATTCATTGATAAAATTAATAAAAGTAATGTCTAGCGTTAGGCGGTCGCACGAAAACGACAGAATAAATTAGTTTAGACCAGAGGTTCCCAAACTTTCTTTTCTCATTAACCACTTTCAAAATTTTATTGGTTTCTGTGGACCCTCCTACATTTCTCTCATATTCACAAAAGATTTGATTGAGGACCCAGTAGTTTAGACCATTGGATCCATGTAGACCACTTTGAGAAACATATATGTATATAGCGTTTATGACGTAAAACTATTTTATAGCATTTTAAAGAAAACTATCAATTTAATTCTTATCAAATGGCTCGTGTCATAAATTATTAATTTAAACAAATAAAATCAAAATAATTACATAAACATTTATTGTAATTCTTAGGTATCGATATGTTCAAAATAAAAGCTACCTCTACACGTAAAGCTAAAACTAAATTATACATATAAAAAATATAAAGTCATCCTTCACGGTCCTAATTCAATAGTTTTTCAATATAAACTCGTTTTTGAGTTTTTAAACAAAAGCAAAAAATGTATAAAAATTTCTAAGCTTGAAAAACTGCAATGGCCGCTGCAATAGTAATTATAAATTGTTTGACAGATTAATCACTTCATAATCCCTTTGCCTTCTCAGCAAAAATAATCTCCTCTGTAAAAATTGATATATAATATTGCTGGCCTTCAAGTTAGTCACTGTCTAGATCGTTGTCAATATGAACTTTACGGAATTCAAAATGGCGCTTATTTAAAACAATAATATTCACAATATCTTGTGAATTATACTAGTAAAAATGATATAGCATACTTTGGCTTTTATGCCCGTAAAGCTTTATTTATTCGGTGGCACATCAGGCTATTTATTCGACAAAAATCTCCAATTGATTATAATCCTTTACATGTGAAAACTAAGTTCAAACTCGATCGTCACAAAAAAATGACGTTTTAGATAACCTAGTTTGCTGCTAATGACCTATAACGCCTAGTCTATGGCAGAATGAAAGTAAACTGACCTCTACACATTTTACTCTATGCTTCTATCTTGGTTAATCGACCTCTGTGACTTTGCCATAATCGTGCCGGTGATCGTCCATCTACGAAGGAAAAATACCTTTTCACTACCGAGTAAGCTTTTTCTAATATCAACCTTATGAGCTACGTTTAAAGCGGAAATTTCGTTATCCATTTGCTTGTTTAATAATGGAGTTTAATAGCGTCCGTATAAAGTTTAATTTGAAATGTAGCCAAGGCCTTTTTTGTTAAACTAATTTACAATGTGGACTTAGCATTTGCTTTCAATTTTATCAGCATTATCAGCAATTAACAATTAAATATCGACTTTATTAGTATCGGAATACAGTTTTAGTTGTTTTAACGAAAAATATGAAGTAGAATTGAGATGCCAAGTGAAGTCATATGCTAGTTTTTTTTTTTTTTTTTACATAAGGTTGATTATACATTGTTACCGGTGTATTTAATGTAATTCAAAATTATGACAATTTTAATTTTGACAATCAGTGTTAATCTGTTGCTGGAAATCAGTGTAGGTAGTTTAAAAAAATGTATGTAGACATATTTCAGTAGAAGTATGAGCATGATGGTATACATTATCAATTAAGCAAACTTATTGAATAAATCACAAAGAAAAAAAATCAAATAAAGCCTCTTTAAAATATCTAGCAAATAAATTATTATTATTATTATTAGTAAAGTAAAACAATAAAACTCTTTGGATACATAGTGTTAAAAAAATAATGTACGTTTACATTCCGTTCGAAATTTAAATCATATCGAACACTTCACTATTGTTAGACTGTTTTTGTTTTTTTTTAGGCGAACGCGTTTACTGCTATCTGCCTAGTTTTTGAGTAGCATGATTTTGCAATTTTTTTTCTGTATAATTTTATTATTTATTTTTGTCCAGATGACATGTGTCGTTCGGTCTCAAGCAGGCGGTCTATTAGAGGACCAGCTCGATTCGTAGACTCATCGCTTTCTCGGCTCTTGTCTGCAGATCTTTTTTCGATCTGAAATGTTTTTGAATGATAGAATTATGTATTTCACCGTTTCAACTTAACGTGTAGATTACAATTTATTAGTTTGGACTGTCAAGAGATGGCGTTAGAGTTCTAAATTGCTGATTTCATATTTTTACTAAGATTTTCTCTTATCTAGGAGTCATAAATGTACACGAACTAGCTCAGAAAGTTTTCTATTTACTAACAATGATATTCAATTTCCTTAAGAATTTATACAAAGTGTATCTTCTGAGCAAGATAATCCAACAATTTAGTAAACACAAATACTAAACAAGTAAATAGGGTATTTTTCTTTGTAAAAATACTTATGTTAATTTTAATATAAATAAGATACAACAACTTTACAAAATATATCAAACAAGAACAGCGCCATCTAACGATCTTGCTACAAAATAATAATTAAGGAAAGAAAAGGGCTCTTGTTTCCAACTAATCTGATAGATTTTTATCATGAAGTGACGTCACACTATGGCGGGTTTCAAATCACGTGATAAACAGACAAAAAACCTGGACTTTTAATATATCTAGATAATCATGTGATTTATGATTCAAAATCGGAATATCTTGTATTTCATATAATTAACAAAGCTTAATTATTAACACAGATAAATATGTTATTATATCGAGCTCCTCCGTGCTTCGGAAGTCACGTTAAGCCGTCGGTTCCAGCTGCATTTGCAGTCGTTAATACCCTCCAATCCGCATTGGTCCTGCGTGTAAGGTCATGGCCTACGCTTAACCATCCATAAGGAAGACCTAAGCCCCTGCAGTTGGGAGGTAAAAGGGCTGATCATGATGTATGTATACAACTCACGTCCGGTTCCCCCAGTAGTGTGTTGGCTAAGTATGGCGCGCGTAATACCCCCCTCCAGTACAACTTCTCGAGGGGGCGATTGACGCACCAACCGGCGCAGCGAATGCCTAGATCGCGCCAGTACTGTACCTCGCTCCTACCGAACGATACACGGGTTACTAGCAAACAATTATAGACTGGGAGCTCGTGGCAAAAATATGCAGGAGTATTATTTATTGATTAGATTTACCAACATTTGAGTATACCATTTGAATAAAAAATCAATGATAACAAGCTGAATGCATTGATTGAAATAATTGCAGTCACGTGGCTTAGTTTAAAAATCACAATGAAAAAATATATATAATCAAAATTTTAGAAAATTATTTAAAAATTCGTAACTTATTAATGAAACATAACGTTTTTTTAGATCCTGTTTCAATATAAATTTGTGATTACACATCACAAATGTACATTATTTTTTTCTACCGTCAGCTCGCGGATTGTCATCATCGGTGATGTAAAATAAATTAAACTATTATGTAACTCGACTAACTCTATATGTAACTCGAATAGCTCGATGTCATAAGCACCGTAGCCCGCGATCGTTGTTGTTATGCAACTTTCGCAAGGATCACGGGATGGGTGACCAAAAAATGATTATCTCGATCGTTAATACCCTCAAATGCGTATTGGGCCAGCTTGGAGGGTCATGGCCCATCCCCAATATATCAATAATGAAGATCTGAGCCCCTGCAATGGGGACGTAAAAGACCTGGTGATGATGATGATGCCAGATCTGGCGGACTGCTTGCTGGATTCCCGACTCACCCCTCCCCCAGTGAGGGTAATAAAAAAAAAAGTGGCTGAATGCGAGGCGGACTCGCGCCCGAAAAGTTCCATACCTAAAACGAGCAGACAATCACGTCTGTTGTATGGGAGCACCCTTAAATATTTATATTATTCTGATTTCTAGTATTCATTGTTGAAGCGGCATCATCTGTCTAACTTTCACGCTTCATGAGATCCAGCTTGGTGACAGACAGACAGACAGCAGTCTTAGTAATAGGGTTCCTGTTTTACCCTTTAGGTTTAGTAACCTAAAAAGATTATGATGATGATGTATCTTTAGTTAGTTAGTAAATGAGTTGATTAGTTAGTTAGTGAATGAGTTAACTCACGGACTGACGATGTCCTTGTGTAGTAATACAGCGCTAACGCCGCACCAGCGCGCGCTCCAGCGCCACAGCAGCGAGTGCAGCGCGTCAGCGCAACGCAGCGCCGCGTGAATGGCCAGGTTGTGCCCGAACCTGACGCGTACGTCAAATAAATAATAATAGTAAAATAAATAAATAACTAGACAGATATACCAAGCTACGTCGTTTGCTTCCAACTATACTATAGTATAGTCTATTCATCTTTACGCGCGTTTGTGAGGGTATCAAAAGGTATATGTACAAAAAAAATCAAATAAAAAGGTTTTTTCTTTATAAAAAATTATTATTTTATTTTAAAACAAAGAACCTTGCTATAATTAATAATATGGATTTTTAAAAATAATTTAGGGGCCATAAATCACGGCTTGAAAAGGGGGAAGTTGGTTCGTCAAAATCACGAAGAGGGAGGGGGTGGAGTAATATATCACGTGTATTTATCTATTACTATAAAAAGAAAAGCGGCGTCGAAAATTAAGATTTTTGCAGGTACTAAAATACACGTGATTTGAGTGAAGGGGGGAGTTAGTCTTAAAACTCACCATGTATCAACAAGGGGGAGAGAGGGTTAAAAAAATGCTGAAAAAAACATCACGTGATTAATAAGCGGCCCCTTACACGTTTGTTGAATTATTACTCAGAGTCGCTATTGGAAACATTAAATTATAAATTTTTGGATTATCTGCTTTCAACTGAGGTTAATATTTAAATACGTTTTCTTATAAAAAAAAATCCACGTTAAAACGATTTCGTTTATTTTTGTAAAGCTAATAAAACTCATATACAATAAGAATTCGTATATCAGATATTTAAAATAAGGGTGTGGAGAGAATACGTTTCTGACAGTTCGACAATTCGAGATTTTTACGATAAAACCTTTCTTTTTGTTTGGCCCCTTAACACATTGATACTAGATTGAACTAGTTATTATATACAACGTTTTTTTCGTCGTTTTGTTGCCTCAAGCGTATGTGTCGATGTACAAAAGATAATATAAGATAAAAATTAGACGTCATCACAAACATTACTCAGATTCCAAGACGACTAGCTGAAGGCCCCGTATTATCGAGTATCTGAGTCTAAATTAACAGTGCCTGTCACAAGACCGCAAAAAGTTAATAACTCATTCCGGGGTCTTCAAATCGGGGTGAATAAATGTTGGACGATTCAAAAGTACTTTTAAGAAGTCTATTTGAATAAAGATTATTTTGACTTTGAGACAAAGAGAATACAACAACACCCAGGACCGAAACAATAAAGAAAAGTCCATTTTCTACATAACCTGACCGGTTAATGTAGAAAATATACTTTTCTATATTGGAACGGACTTTCAACAATCATCCCGGGGGACCCCAGAGAAACATTCAACTGCGGAACTTGTAAGTACTACGGTTAAAGTAATATTAAAGCAATCAGTAAAAAAAACAATAGTTTTGTCTTAAGTACTTCAATTCCAAAATTTAAATTAAAACACGATTAACCTGTAAAAATTTAGTGAAATTAAGTTTTAATGAAAAAGTATTATATTTGTTTACCTCAGTTTACTGGGACCGTTGTCTGCATCATATTCACAAGCACTGAAACAATATGGCCGGTAGTTGATAGCGCCTACTATTTGAGGATCTTTCTTTCGGATCTTGAAAATAAAAAAGTATCATTGAAATAATAAGTTACAACCTAAAAATGAATTGAATTGAGTTATGTGATCAAGTGAACATTCACTTAAGTTTATTTTTTATTTGTGACGGCTATAATGGTTATAGGTGACCACAATTAACTTGATTCCAGCTAAATTATAATACTAAAGCTAAATTCCAGCTAAATTATAATGCTAAAGCTAAATTCCAGCTAAATTACAATATAATTACAAACTTACACATTGTATAAACATTAATACTAACTTGATAGAGAACTACAGGATTGAAGCAAGTCACCGCTGCATATTGGTACAGTGTTGGTCGCGAAGAAAATGTCTTCAATATACCATTGATCACCTGAAAACAAAAATAATAAATAATTAATTAATATCAAAAACCAAGAAAAGATAGTCCCAGTTTAAAAATATGAAAATAGAAGCAATTTTAGTATGTGATATCTATCAGTATTTTTTAGGTTAGTATTTTGTGATATTTATTAGTATTTTTTAGATTTTAAACAGCATAGTATTTTATAGTTGAGCTACTTCAAAATTGTTATTTTCAATTCCGATTGATAGTGAACTGTTGCCATACAGTCACTATAAAGCAGAATAGGCTTGTGTCTCACAAGTTAAAATAAAGGTTTCAGTTATATGTTTGGAAAATAGGAACCATTTTAACTTGTAAATATTTTATTAGTGTTATAAAATATTTATATTTCTAATAAAATATTTGGAAAATATTTAGTTTTGAAAACTTGAAAAAAAATAGGGAAAATAACTAATAAAATTTGCTTAAATATATATGGCACTAAATTAGTTACATAAAACGTTACCACTTCTATTAATACAGCTTTAAAGATAAACACACAAATAATAAAAATATTATAAAGACTGTCTAGACGTTTTTCGCTAACATAGCCCTGTCTGATGTTCCACAAATATAGCACTGTATCTCCAAAACTATTAACCGCAAACAAGCTGTTACTTCTACATTATATCTCAGATATAATTGGAATATTTATTTATAAAATAAAAAAGAGGATTTCAACTAGCCTACTCTTACAAACAAGAATAAAAGATTTTTAAGTGCGTGATTCCATTAACGCAGGTGCAATATATGCATACACCAGTATTTTTATAAATTACATGATTTTTGACCTTACACTGAGGCAATATTTGCTCGTCCGTGTAATACTCCCCTATTTCTTCCATTTCCCAATTTTTGACCTAAACATCTCAGAGTAAGAACTCCTTGGTAGATAAGTACAAGAATATAATGTATAGGAATAGAAAGTATAGGTACTTGAAGATTGACAGAGAATTTTACAAACAAATATTGGTCCTATATTTTTCTACATAAGGTTCTTAATAATCTAGTGGCTTCTAGTCTGTCAAATTTGTATGTGAATCTACTAATACCAGTTTATTTAGAAAAGGGCGCTAATTGTCCAATTTTAAACTCTATCGCAATGCCTTTCAATTTTACAATTGAAGGATACTCATAAACTTCGCGCCACAACTATGTGACAAATGATAACGATTGTCATTCTGATGTCTATTAAAATTTCAACAACATCAGTTACCTTCGAAAGGGCTTGCGATAGATTTTGATTTAGATTAGACCACAGGTATTTGAATTGAGTATTAGATTATACTAGGAATAGTTGCACTTATCATCATAACCTAACATTAGAAACATGTAACAGAAACCTTCAGTGAGTCATAGATACCTGTTTATCTTCTCCTTTGACATCAATAATCATTCTCACTCTGTTAGCAAGTAGATAGTCAAGAGCCTCGTCGAGTAAGCATAAATGCACTTCTTTGAAGTGATCTCTGAAACATGAAAGCTATGTTCAATGTAGTTGAACGAATAAAATTTCCTGATGTAATCTAATATAATGGAACACTCAATATGAAAGGCACAGTAATAGTTACATAGTTGTCTGTTGTCATAATTCATTTATATCATTAATATTGATTTGGTAATGGTATGGTTTTTGTAAATGTTGTTTTAATTGGAGCTGGTGAGTTTCTTTCTCTTGTCTCTTAAGCATCAAAAGGTCCTAAACAGGATACTTATATATATGGCTTGACAATGCAAATGCTCACTAGCAGCAAAAGTAATAACTTAAACAGAAATTTTACCATCTCAAACTGTCTTAGGAAGCTTAATTGACATGAGCAGTTGCTTATATATAGCATACATAGGAGTCTTTGGTTGGGAGTATTATCTCAAGCACCTGGGAGTGGTGGGACTAAAAGTTTAAACCATTTTACTAAATAGTATACTTTTCACCTGTTAGGATGGGTGGCTCCAATATCAATATCTTTAATGGCATCCCAGTCCATAGCATGGACATCTGCTATGTTGGAGCCGGCCAAACGTTCCAAGCCTTGGTCATGTAGTAACACTAACTGCCCATCTTTTGAAGATCTTACATCTAGCTCCACAAAGTAACAGTCCTGGTCTACACACTGGAAATATTAATATGAAGTATGTTATCAGAAAAGGTTATGATAAAAATATGGTGTTCAATACACAAAGAAATAAACACATGAACTTACATATTTGAAGGCTTCCAGCGTATTTTCTGGAGCGTCCAAGCCCGCCCCTCTGTGCGCGATACATCTCACTACTTTTTCTGGATGTAACTCTCCTTCTTTGCTACCTGGTTCCGGGCCGAATATACTGAGTACGTTATTCTGCTGAGCTTTCTTCAGCCTCGTCAAATAGTAAGCACCAACGCCAAGTATACCGACGTCGAGGCCCAAAGGCAGAACTGTGTGCAACATCGAAATTATGAAATAAACTGAACTAAAAGTGTGATATAAACTATTTATAAAGAAAGTAGCCGCCGTTATTAACATTCTCGTTGGTCGTTCGTTTACGTTAGTATAAAATGTTAAGCTAAAACTCGGAAAATTCGTAAATAAATAAATACATAGTGGATGGACAAGTAGCGGGAGGGAGGGGCAGGCAAGTAATATTTGACATTGACAACTTACTGTCAAGTTTCAGATTGACAAGTAGGACTTAGAGTTTCGTTCAATACTTTCCTAGACTGTTAGCACCTAATAAGATGTTATATTGCTCAGCACCTTAGTTGAACTAAAATGGCGATTTTACTGGTCGGTTTCAGTTACCAGTATAATGCGTTGTTATGGCTAAGCGCTGTGACTCTACCCCGCACCTCGATCGAGATCTGAAAATATGCTACTACCTAGTATTTTGGTTCAACTTACGTGCCGCGCGTTATTATGTATAACGCATATTCTTTTACATTCCATTTCATATTAGTATTATAAATCTTTCCCATAAATTTATATTTTATTCTATTATTACTTTTAACCGTATCGAATCATCAAAATTTAGTTCAGCTTTGAACTAAAAGATGAATAGTGCTTAGAGCTTTAGAACTAAGAATTTAGTTGTTGGGAATTCAGATTATCGCCACACAAAAGGAATGATTTTAGAAATAATGGCGCGGAATCCTTAGCTATTGTATTACGTGGCCCCTTTAAAGTTACCTCCCCCCACCTTTTATATAAAAAAATATTTCTGAGCTCCGCCTCTGGGTATTGAATATCTATCTATCTTCTATCTTTAACTGAGTATATAGGTAAATTGATAACCCAGTACCTTGGGCATGATATGAAAGAATCACATGAACTTGGGATACTGCAGATTCCCAAAAATGTCAAGCCAATAGAGTTTACTTTACTTAGCATACCGCAGCTTTTTGTTAGATAACTACTACAAATCGGATTACCAAAGTGCTAAATTTTTGAAAATCATTTTAAGTTACTGCTTGCACGAAAATCTCTAGCTGCGTTGTCCCATCGTTGGACCATAATCATTCGTTGTTATAAAGATGGTCCTAATATAGTCCTTTTAGGGGTGTCACCAGTAGACGCAGTTCGAAAGTTTTATGTAAATTCTGTACCAAAGTTATAGAAATAAAAGCACTTTATTCAGTTAGTTTTTATTCTATAGCATATTTAGATAGAAATTAATAACACATCGTAAGTATTTATGGCTTAAAATCCATCAGCCTATCAGAGTCAGGTATGATTGGCTGTCGAAGAAATACAGCGCGAACAAAATGCCTGATAATGAAGAAAAATGTCTCGACCACAGTAAGTACACTGGCGCCCACAAACAGTGCCGTGGTGCCGCCCAGGGATGCTAAAACAAAACAACATGATTATCAGCACATTACCCCTGCTGCTGAGGATTTCCCTGTGAAAAAATATACATTGAGTACTTAATCTATGCAACTGGTACTGTGCAGTCGTGCCTCCTGAGGTATGGAGAAATTCGAGATAATAAGTTTCTGCATTCGGAGATTGTTCGTTTATTTATACTTTGAAATACTTTATGTATTTTACTTGATTGCTGGGGCATAGGCCTTCCATATTGGTAGAATCACATAAAGAGCTAATACCGTAACTCACCATGCAAGCTATAGTAGCATAAATTGATCTTCTTTGAAAGTTACCTGTTTAAAATACCCTATCGATAAACTAATACGTATTATAAAAACATGAAAAATGCTTACCTTTAACATAAGACTTTGAATATCGGGTATAAAATAAATACCGGCGAGGGACAAAAAAATAAAAATTAAAACCACACACAGACACACACACATATACTAAGATATCTTAAAAGCAGCGAGTGAGGCCACGATAAAGCAGATATGAATATCCCAATATGCGTGACACCAATGGGTTAGGTCAACTGGCATAATTAACAGCGCACTATAGTGTTCCTGTGCCCCATGTGTGTATGTCGCACCTAACTGGTTAAAACAATTGTTCAATTGGGCGGCTAGTCTTTTAATAAAATAGCACTATTCAACTTCACGGCTAGTTTTCTAGTTGAATCATTGTTAGACGGCTGATTTAAAAGCCGCCAAAAAGTTCACTTAGTTTGTTATTTGATACAAAATAAATTTCTACCTTTTCACGATGTTATTTGTAAATTTCTAAGCTATCACGAGGTTATATTAAATTTTTAACCTATCACGTGACCTACCGGACCTAAAATAACATCGATGTTTATAATTTTATGTTATTATTATCTATTGTAGCATCAAACTTCCAAATAGTAATAAAAATACTACACAATCGCTGTCAAATACATTCATTACTTTGATTTTTGATAGATGGCGCTGTGGCTGTTTGCATCGCGATACATCTCGTCTTTGTATAATTGTATTAGGTACTGTACTAGGTTGTATAATGAATACAATAAAGTTTCAATAAATTAGCGCTTAGGGTATTATTTAACACGCTAATCGTACTTAGCGCTTAACGCTGTTAATTAAGTATGTCCTTGTTAGGGGCCGTCCAATAATCACGTGCGGCTTGAAAGGGGGGGAGGGGTTCGTAAAATCACGAAATATCACAAGGGGGAGGGGGTGTAGTGATATATGACGTGTATTTATCTTTTCCTCAACCGCGCGATTAAAGCTTAATAACTGTACTAAAATTTCTCAAATTTGTCATTTATTAACATTATCATGTTTACTATAAACGTACGTGCTTAGGGATGTAAAATTTCATTACGTGTAGATAAAAATGTACATAGTTCATTATTATAATAAAATATTAATAAATTATTGTTTACTATATCGCACGCGCTCAGTTCAAAGATCGGACATATAATAAATAACGTGCTACGAGATTTACGCACTTAGAGATGTTCAGTGTCCCTTTTTATTTTTTACTTAGCGCGTTAGTAAATTAACGCATTATTAAACACGATAATTTTTCTTAGCATTTAGTCTTCAGCTGTTAATGTATTTAGTCGTTTTGAAGAACTGTAGTGTTTAGTTAGTGGCGGTACTATTAATAAACAAGGTTTAGTGTCAGATTAAATTTACGCTAAAAATTGCAATGTTAGTATTGGTCCAAATTCATATTATACAGGGAATAAGCAAACCTACTACCTTCGAGGAGTAATAATAACTCCCGTAGAATCTCGTACTAGGTTAACCTCCGCTCGGCCTCTGTTTAATAATATGAATTTTGATTAATAAGTGCAGTTTCAGCATAAAATTATTCCAACGCTTAACTCTGTTTATTAATAACACTGTAGGAGTCTTATATAAACTCACTCACAGTTGCCTGTGTGGAATCCAATGATAGATTCACCGCCTCCTTTCCCCGTTGGGAAGGCGATTCCAAACCCCTAAGGTTGAGAGCCGAAAAAATCAATAAAGTTTAAGTTTAAACCACTTGCGTAAAGGGCGTGTACGTTAGTTTCCTTTTTTGGATTGGATCATACGGACCGTTTACACCTAGTCGCGAATAAGCAGTTTGACTTTGATCAATACTGTATCTACTTATATCAATTACAGATTGTAACAAGGACTTTTTATTTTTATATAAAATCACCCACTAGGTACAATATATATTTTGTGGTAATTCTAATCCTACCTACGCATCGCGATCGTCTTAAATTTTTAACCAGTTGGTTTTGACACATACATAACATGCAATGCACGCTTTGATAAACCAACCAAATAAGTCTTCTAAAGTGAAGATGACATCCCTCTTCAGTCTGAACTTGGGCGGCATCATGTTCACCCTCAGCGCAGATATCTGGCTGTCATCTTCCGTTGACTCCGAGTCATTCATGTTACATCGAAGAAGGATATTCGGTCATAATTTTGGAAGAGTTAAATCATTACATACTTAGAGCGAGCCGTTTGTGAAAAATATTTGATAATAGAAAAGTGAAACATATATCACTCACTACACATGGAATTTAGTTAGCTATCATATACGATTATGCTTATTATTTAGATTATCACTTAGATAAGTAGATACTTATCTTGATTTAGACTTATGAAAATGCGTCAACCAGAGGCGTATCATGTTAATTCCGGCCTTGTATCCTGAATTCTGTCCTATCGAACAACATTTTGGTAAAGAAGATGGGCTTCATAATATTTGAGTGAGAATTATGGATATTAATATATACATAATCTATCTTTCACATTTATATCGATCGGCGGAGGTAACCAAATTATGAGAGTATATTGCTAGCTTACCGATTAACGACCTTCTTTGTATGAGAATAGAAGTTGTGTTCGGTACACTGAGGAGGGCATGAACACTTGGCGAGATTGCGGGGCAGGTTGATGAGAATCTCGACGTTCCTGCCGACGCACGCCATACCGTGAGCGTCGCACGGCTCGCCATCTTGTACGAAAAGGTGCGAAGTTAGAAATTTAATGGCGGCAAATTAAACCGTTGCGTTTCGTTTTTTAACAAATTATAGTCACTATATCGAATGTGTACTTATAAAAAAAAAACACCTATTTTGCGTCAATGAAACACATTCCGTTTTTTTGTAATGACATTACAGTTGAGAGGTGATTTTTGTTTATTTTTTTGTTATTGTCTATATCATGTCATGCCAGTTATGGAAACTTCAAAAAGGTTAATTTAAAATATGCCAGTGGATTTCCGTAAATATCACAATACATACCCAAGTACTTACTCAGGTTTGAAAAATCTACAGCTAAGAGTAAAATAAAAAGTGTATTTTATTTTTAATATCCTCACCTCCCTTAGCGTAAAAATAAGGCCGACAGCCACAGAACATTAGCGCCATGCGGTTCCGACAGTGCATCTGACAGAGCCCGAAGCTGTACGCCTGTATTTTTTTTAGTATGTGATAAAAACATAAAAAAATATAATTATTTGTGACAACTAAATTTCACAGATAAGTTTTCTACAAAAATGATTTCAATCTGCCCATGGGCAGAAAGATTATTGTAAAGTTGTTATTATTATTTGATTTTGAAAAGTGGAGTGGTGAAATCAAAATGATTAACTAAGTCGACTTTCCGTCTTTCAAATTTATAATTTTTTATAAACAAATCAAAACTTAAACTGTGATGTTTGTAATAAAATATAGGCGTGCAACATTTGATAACGGAATGTTCCATAAATCAAAGAAATGTCATAATTCACTAATAGGGATGATGACTAATTTTTGTTTGTTTGTCCGTCAGGTAGAGTGTTTAAAAAGATTAAACACGTATTTTTTTATTTTTTTCGTAATCATAAAATTACGGCGTTACATTGAGTTGCAATTTCGCATGACGTCACGTTAGAGTACGTTTTCTATTCAACTATGACGTAGCGAGCCCCCACTCCTCAACTTTAATGCCTGTTATTTCTTTTTAAATTGAAATAAAAAAAAAATACGTATCTTATATTTTTCTATTATCTGACTGACGGACTAAATAGAAGACGCGCTTACTGCGCAACCGCGGCCCGCTCAAGCACGCTATCGCCCACAACTTATTTGCATGCAGTACTTTGCAGCAACTTATTCCTAGCTGCACGTGTAGCATGACGAACTCGAGAACGTTTTGTCTACACTCAAATGTCATTTTTCTCGGATGCGCTCATACGATAACTCACTCATGACCCGAGAAACTGACAAATGAGTGTAGACAAAGCGTTTCTCGAGTTTGTCATGCTACGCGTATATGTTAATTCGATCGATTAGTACCTTCAGAGTTTGTTATCAGACTTTAAATTTATGGCTATGAAAAATTCTTCCACATGTCTGTATTTTGTTTTCATACATGTGTGTGTCGTGTCTTAGGTAGATTTTAAGAATCGATAGTGAAAGAAAAGAGCTTCACTCATAGCGATTTTGTTCATGTCCAGATTAGTCCACACTATGCCACTGATTCAATCAATATTACCCTGATGGAATCGCTGATCCACTCGTCCGAATAGCGGCAGCGACGCTGGTCTGGTCTCAGCTGTCGCAACTCCTCCGAAGCCTGGATCTCCACCTCCTTACGAATAATACTATCGTTTGTATCTACATCACACAGGCGTTTCCTTACCTAAAAAGGTGCTTCCAAGAGTGCCTAGGAATCAAGAACGAACTACCCTCCCCCAATTTTATTATAGAAAGCAATAAACAGACCATTTAATCAATAGCTAAGAAGAAATCGCTGTTCAGCGATATTGCACATCTGTAGATAATTTTATTTTTGTACCTTGCTATGTATTTATTTTTACTTTTTGTGCAATAAAGTATCTAAATTAAATTAAATTATTTGTATCACAAAAGTGTAGCGTTTCTTAAAAAGACCTTAATTTAAAGTATCATCGCCATTCCATGATCTGCAGTCGAGCGCGCTAAGGACTAGGCGCGTTGTTGTGCTAAGGACTCTACTGACCCCTACGGGTCCGCAGGCGACAGTTTAGTAAACGTTGATATACAGTAAGATCCAACTAATATGGATCTCCCACTCAGCGGAGGTCAGGAGTGCGGACCACCTGCTAGCGCGCTGGTTATCTGCCACAATTTGCAATGATTTGTAGCCTCTGGCATAAGTACTCATATGTAAGTACATCGGCGAGCCACATTAGTTCTGTGCTAATGTAACAATTGTGTAAGGGTTTGCACTTTAGGTTTTGACTTCTGATTAATAATCTGACTAATTTTAATTCAGGGCAATCTACGCCACTGGCGTCTAAAAAAAAGTAGCGCTATAGCGCTTATAGCAAATAATTAAAACGATAGTGAGAATAGTAGCAGAAAGGTAAACATTTTATTGGTAATAAAGTTATTTAAAAATATTAAGGTTTACCTTGTAGTCTATAACAAGTTCCTCGCCCGGCGTCACCTCCCCCGTAGGATTGGAGATAGCAGTTGGTATCTCGTAGGGAGAATGGATGAAGTACTGGGTCATCAATAATATGAATGAAAATATTTTGTGATCAAATTACAATGAAAATATGAACAAGATAAAAATCCACATATATGCTTGGGAACTGGTGAACTTGTATTGTAATTCCATTAAGTTGGCAGAATAACATGTACAACAGGGAACACAAATACCAAAGATAGATTGAGTGAGTAACTTTTTATCAGTCACCAAGTCATGGTTCTACTGATACCGTTGGTATTAGCGCTTCGTGTAGCTTGTTTTGTTCTGCTGCTACCGGGCCAACACGCTCTTATGCCATATTGCGCAAACATTTAAAATATAGAAGTTAGATCGTAAGAAAATGCTAAGAATAAATAAATGATCAACAGTACCAAAAGATTTTTAAGTCGAGATGGCTTGCATGCTAGTTTCTAGGCGTATCTTATCCGAAAATCCTGAACATGTTTCTCGATTTAGATTTATTGAATTTTTGTATATACTCGTTGAGCAAGTGGTCTCCTATGATCATAATCTAAACATTTTAGCACAGCTGAAGGCAATGAGGTATTAATACAAATTTTATTAAACGAATGATTGATTTGTTTCGTCTTATTGTTGGAAACGCTTACCCTGACGGATTTTCTCAGCGAGTGTACTCTGATATAGCACTGACCCGTGAGATAGTGGAACTGTTGGAGAGACTGTTTCTCCCGCACGTCATCCTTCTGAATGTGCTGGAATTTCGCGTACAATGAGTTGAATGATACACACATTCCCACTTCGGTCATCACCGGTGTCCAGTGCAGCTTCTGAAATCATTTTGGTTAGAAACTTTTCACTATGTTTTTAGTTGTATTGCCAGGGTATATGTTAAACAGTATCTTCTAAAATAAATTCCAGTAATTTTTACTTGGTTTCGTTGCACAATAATCTTCTAAATATATATAATTCAAAGGTGACTGACATAGTGATCAATTAACGCACAGCTCAAACCTAGACGGATCGGGCTGAAATTTAGCATGCAGGTAGATGTTATAACGTAGGCATCCGCTAAGAAAGGATTTTGATCAATTCTACCCCCAAGGGAATAAAATAGGGGATGAAAATTTTGTCAATTTTAAACCTATCGGGCCGAGAGTTTACATGCTTAAAGCTACTATGACGTAGGCATCCCCTAAATGAAAATGAAAATAAGTAAGGATTTTGATAAATTCCACCCCTAAGACGATAAAATAGGAATGAAACTTTATTTCAGGTATTTTAAACAATATAATGAGTAAATATTCGTTAGAAATGCTGCTTAAAGTAACTTTACCACGCGTACGAAGTCGCGGGCAAAAGCTAGTTTCTATATAAAACCTAGAATCCCTAGTTAGTGTTCAACAATTGATGCAACAGTTTAGTTAACATGATCATTTAAAGAACACGTATCGTCTCATATATGAGGTAATTATTTTCTGGTTTTCAATTATGACTCAGAGGCTAAAATCTAAAATCCAAACTTTTTGATTCGGTCTCTCACCTCACCAGTAGACCTAGAAACCATAACTTTCAGTATATTGCTAGGATGTATTTTACTAGCCAGCTCCATCAAGTCCATATCCTTCACGGTATTATCGTTCTGGTATTTCCAAAAATTTTGCAAGTTCGTCCGAAAAGAGACATCGGCAATCAGCTCCAGGAACCCTTGATAGTAATCATACTTATCAGGGTCAGACTCTTCGCTGACGTTCCAATAACTGCGAAGAAATATACGTCTAGTGAAAAATTTGGTATGATATGTAAACTTTATAACAGATAAGAATGTTTGTATTTTATTTAGTTCCCAGGCCATGTTCCGAAAATAATTGCGTTGATAGATGCTTCTAACAATGATTGCTTAACAATAGGAGCATAATGTAAAACGAAGTAGATAAATGAGGACGTATTAAAAAAACTATTAAAATAAATGTTGTTAAAGATCTAGATCTCAAAATCGTTGTGGTAACCTGACCTGAAAACAGGTCAAGCGGAGATCAAAGATCGGTGCCTGAATTATCCCACTATACGGTATCCTAGAGATACGCGGGTGACGTCGTTGGCGGAATGATTGACTATCAAAATTTAATTTATTTTATAAAAAGAAAATCTGAATAAATCTAATTCCATAACACAACTCTTGACGCTCTGTATGAAATAAAACAGGGAAAAAAAAGCAGCCCTTGCCGAGTTTCTTGGCGGTTCTTCTTGGTACAAGGTCTCCCGCAGTAGATTTACGAACCGATGGCGTAGCTCTCGACTTTCACAAACGCTTGTTACAGCCTAGACTGAATAAATTATTTTGCTTTGGATTTTTTATTATGAATCAAAGACATTCAAAACGGTTGCACGTATGTTTTCTAGTAACTAAGCACTACTTTTTTGAAGCACTTCCTCATTAAGCGACGAATGTCATCAGATTGTCTTACGTTTCGATGATCACTCTTGCTTTCTCTGGATCGATTCGTTGTATGAAGCAGGCGGTGATGGCGGGGAAAGCGCTCCACCAACTGCGGTAGTCGCGCTGCATGGATACCACCACCGGCTCAGAATTGTATCTGAAATTGGGATGACGATTGGGTAAAAAAAAAAAGAAATTCTATTTAGTCCGTCAGTCAAATAATAGAAAAATATTAGACACGTATTTTTTTTTGCTTCGATGTAACAAGATAACTTAGATAACATAGCTTAGATAACAGTCGTTAAAGTTGAGGAGTGGGGGCACGCTACGTCACAGTTTTGTAGAAAATGTACCAAAGCGTGACGTCATGTGACATTTTAACTCAATGTATCGCGGTAATTTAATTATTACGAAAAAAAAATACGTGTTTAATATTTTTTAACAATCCACATGACGGACAAACAAAGAAAAAAAAATTGTCGTCATCCCTATTATTTTAAGTCATCTATATTAATGATATTATAAAGTGGAAAGATTTGATTGTTTGTATGATTTTTTGTTTGTTTGTTTGCAACGAATAGGTTCAAAAACTACTGGACCGACTTTAAAAATCCTTCAACTACATCATATATGGTGAACATAGGTTTTATTTCATCCTGAATTCAACAAATAAAGGGGTGGAATTGGAGGTATGTCAAATTTTATTAAAGAGAAAATAAAGAATTCCAATAATAAAATCAAAACAACTTGGAATATAATAAACCGCGAAACCGGTAAGGAGCAAATACGTGAAGATATTCTGACACTTAATTTTAATAATACGATTATCAAATCTCATGATAAAATTGCTAATTTATTGGATGAGTATTTTATAAACATATCAATTTAAACATCTGATTTAAATTCTTCACCAACTGCCGCAAACTCTTTTAGAAAAATGCGTGGCAAACGTAGACAGCTAGTTTAAATTTAAATATATTATTTTCTTAGATATTATTAAAACTTTCAAATGTCTGAAAATAAAAAACACATGCGATTTATGGGGCATATCTTTTATTATTATTATTAAAAGTATAGTTTATGTCATAACCCCTTACTTAGCTGATGTATTTAACTGTTGTGTATAGATGAAGGATTTTTTCCAAATCTTATAAAGCTTAGCAAAGTTATACCTCTTTTTAAATCCGGTCCGGTTTGACTGGAGCTGGAAAAAGGATGATGACCAATTTTTTTGTCTGTCAATTGGGAAGATTATTGAAAAATATAAAACACGTATTATTTTGTTTTTTGCGCATCTATAAATTAGGGCGATAAATTGAGTATAGCCCCCACTCCACAACTTTAATGCCGGTTATATAAATTATTTCTTGTTTAATTAAAGCATAAAAAAATACGTACTTAATATTTTTCTTTTATCGACGGACTAAATATAATTCTTTTTACCCATGCATCATCTCTATTAACGTTGGAGGGATTGATGATATAAAGTTTAACACAATCGGAAGAGATGGAGAATTTACTGACCCAAATGGAACACTTCTTTTTCTTTTATATTTTTACCTGGTCCACTGACTTAAGGCGCAGTACACCGCTCCAAAGAATGCACTCAGAGTCAACCCGAACCAAAGGAACCTGGAATAAAAATTGCCCTCAGTAGCTGAGAAATGTATTGAGTTGGGTTGGTTGTAAAATTATGATAAAAAGTATCTGGAAACGTCGATTAATTCTCCCAGTTGATAATTAAGTACGAGTTTTTGGACTACTAATTACAAACGAGTAAATGACTTTTCCTAACATTTTGATAATTTTGCCCCCTATATACGGGTTGCTCGTATTTATGACGCGAATATTGTAAACTTATTAATTTAGGTGTAATAGAGTAGCTACTATAGAATTGTAGAGGTGGGTAGAAGCGGCAACGATTTTTTACTTATTTTATTTTTTTATTGAATGAACAAATGGCGAACTACACAAATAATAGTTTACATTAGCATTTAACTGTATCCGGATTTTAACCCTAGAAGCAGAATCAAGTTTAGTTTCACCTTACGCAATTTGCTTTGACTTTTACCAAGAACCTTCAAGAGACGGCAGATTTGTCTTGTTTCATGAGAGCGTTCATGTGTACCCAAACTTCAAATCTGTTCTGTAACGTGTAGTATGACCTATTTTTAGGTTATTGTGATTGTTACACATGTTTTAAGTATATATTAATATTAATAAATGGGGAAGGGTGTTGTTTGTTTTCATCATCATCATCATCAGCACTTTTACGTCCCCACTGCAGGGGCTCAGGCCTTCCTTATGGATGGTTAAGGAGAATGGGCGATGACCCTCCACGCTGGTCCAATGCGGATTGGAGGGTTTTAACGACTGCAAATGCAGCCGGGACCAACGGTTTAACGTGTCTTCCAAAGTACGGAGTAACTCGAGATAATATTTTTGATCACCCATCCCGTGACCGACCCTTGCGAAAGTTGCTTAACGACAACGATCGCGGACGGCGGCGTTTATCCACTACGCCATCGACGACGGAATATCGTTATGGAAAGAGGCTGGACGGGTAGAGACATAGCCTACTTGTTACTTTGATCTTCTTTGATTAAACTGATGAGACAGCAGGTAATAGTTGATTTTTTAATGAGAAAAACGTTTTACCTTTCACAGCAATGGACCCTGGGCTGTACAGAATGCTTCATCCCATGTAATGTGGTCTCTTGGCAGAAGTCGGCGTACAAGTGATATGCAGGCAACATGGAGTCCTTGGTATATGCCATGATAGACTTTATGCGAGCGAGACAGCTTAACATTGCCGGGGGTTTTTCTTTTCTTTCTTTTATTCCTTTCGGCATATTCAAATATAAATTATCTGAAAATAATATTGTCTCAGCAAGCATAAATCAAGAAGATATTCAGATTTCCGTAACACTTAAATATAAACGGTTATCTGACTATCACTTAGTAGGTAGTTGGCTGTTTTAATAGCTTGAAAATTTTATAATTTTGTAAACATATTGATTCACTGAGGTTACTTCAAATGAAAATTTTCTACAAATAATTTTAAATTAACTGTCAGTTTGGAGAAAAGTTTTTGTAGATGTGCTGTTCACTGTATAATTATATAATATTATATCTATCACAACTGACTAATCATTATTTAAAAGTAAGGTAAGTATAACTTTAATTTAAAGCTTTTATGCGTTTGGCCTAAAATGAAACATTATTACGTGATAGTTTTATTCCTGAGCATTAACTTTAGTAAATAGAATATAAATGGAAATAGGTTACTGTTTCATATCCAGCTCGAAAGACCAAATATACAATCTTTGTCCCCTCATTGACGGCAAGACCGTTAAATATTAGTTTGTTAGGTAAAAAGAATGACACAGGTGATGCGTTTTTGTTTAATTGTCACCGAGTACTGTCTGCGAAGTATTGTAACTGGTCTATAATGTCGGAACTCGCTGCTACATGGTTTCTGGTAACATACATATATTAAAACCATCTTTTCAATTCTTATGCGAAAAGTTATCGTGGTCGCCTATTCAATTCAATTAAATTAGAAAAACACGAAGCTATTTCATCGTAAAGAATTTATCAGTGTGACGTAAAATATCGCCTTAGAAATATTCTGTGAACGTACCTTTTACTGTCTCAGTTAAACGGGAAAATATAAATGACATATTTTCCTGCTGCCCCTCTAATCGAGCGCATTAATCTAAATTCGTTAATAGTTTTTGATTCGTTTAGTCTATTGTCATGGATGCCATGTTGTAAAATTACAACTAAACTTATCTAATAGATCTTAATTGCATTATAATAATTATAAACGGATTTTGGGTAGAACGTTTCAAGAATGCTTCAAGATTTCTCAAGTCTTGCACGCGAAGCATGACAAACTCGAGAAACGCCTTGTATACACCAAAATGTCACTTTCTTGGCTCAAGATTGAGATATCGTATGAGCCCATCCGAGAAAAGTGACATTTGGGTGTAGACAACCTTCTCGAGTTTGTCATACTAAGCGTACAGTAGGCGTATTATGAAACACTCGAGAACCGCATTGTCTACAATGTCACTTTTCACACTCCAAGTTAAATATCGTATAGGCGCACCCGAGAAATGTGACATTTAGGTGTAGACAAATCTTTGTCAAGTTTGTCATACTACACGTATGGAATAATTGATGTCGAGGCAGGAAAATCACTAAGGAAAATCTGGAGACTAACCAGATCTGTGTTCTGTGAACCAGATAAATGTGGGCAAGCAGGGCAGGACAGCAAAAGCTGAACCCGCGAGAGGTCCTATCATTAAACAAGATCTGTGACAAAAATATGCAAGAGTTGTGTAACAGTTGAATACTTCAATATGTTGCAGTACTAAGGGTACTATCAGTATCATCTGTCTAAAACCGTTTAAAACTCGTAACAGAGAACCGTTGTAAGCTATCACACGTGATTAAGATAATATTATATTTTTATATACTTTATAGGTAAACATATATTCCCACATAAGATAGGTACTGTCTTAACCTACAAAATATGTAATTCCTTTTCATAGCGGCTTCGCCGTGTGTTATGAGGCTCCCTCTCTAGCCATAACTCTTTCCGTAGGATACGATATCTTAGCGAATGTTATGATGTTATTTTTTTTTTTTACTTTCATTACTTTAACATGTATTTTATTGGTCTTACGATGGATAAAATATGGACACTCATTATTCTTTATCAATTGTCTGGTTGTCGTAGTTAAAGTGCATGTCAAAGTATTTAATTAAAATGAGTTATTGGCATAACATCGCTATGATGGCATATCCCAGGGCTAGAGTGATGGTAATGCAACCGCCTAATTCTGGTCATGATTCTAGTCATAGGCCATGTCTCTGTGATATCTTAGCATTTTTATGGCAATATCTTATTTTATTTAAATACTTTATCATTCTTTTAGTGGATAATCAACTAACACCCTGTTGCACAAACGCGCTAATGTTCCATGATTTTAAAATTTTAATGAATGTTTTAAAACTAATAGAGATCACCATCATCAGCTTATTAATACCAGTAATACTCAATGCTGTGGTTTTCCTATGAATGGGATAGAATAGTGAGAATGGGTCTGACCCGTCACGCGTATTAGATGCAACTTGGTCACCCATCCTAAGACCGGCCTCTGTGAAAGTTGCTAAATAACATATAATAAATGGTAATAACATATAATAATGTCGTCGTAATTGAATCCTCCATTTTCGCTTTTCTTACTTGCTTCTGTAGTTATTCTGTAATTAAACCTTATTGGTGAAGTTGCTTCTGGTCGATATAGAGAAATGACTTTAGTAATTCGCAAATAGAATATTGTCAACTGAAAACGTCAGAGTTTATTATACGTCAACTAGAAAATATGTAAATTCTCGTTATCAAAATCAAAGTGTGTTCAGAAAATTGTCAAGTAAATTTACTTATTGTGTATTTAAAACGTAAGTTAAACAAATATTATTATTTTTAATATACATAAGTTGCTAAAGTTTTGTAAACTTATCTGTCACTTATGGCCAGTTTTTATATGGCCTGAGGTTAAACCATACAACTAATGGAGGCTGAATGAACTTCAGCCTATTATTCATTTAGAAATATGTTACTAAGTAGTGTTTAAAGGAGACGAAACATTGCTTAGCAAATATGCTGTGTTCATACCAAAACTGAATAGCAAGACGGCATGATGAAACAATGTGCAATACGAAAAAATCACCAAGTTACCATTCACCATTTTTTCTATTTCTTGATGTGATTGAATCCTTTTTTCAGCGAAAATTGATAAACTTAGGAGTCACTTTGTAACTTAAATAATTGTGCAGGCATTTTACAATAATCGTAAAAGATTGCACATGAAAAATAAAACAGTTTATACGTCGTAATTCGCCATTTCGCTCCCTATACTAGACACAAGGAGATATACAGGAGGAACAGTCTCTACTTTAATTACCCTCTTAAGTATGCTTCTTTAAGATAAACGTATTCCCTTTCACAGCAGTGGACCCTGGGCTGTACAGAATGCTTCATCCCATGTAGCGTGGTCTTCTGGCAGAAGCCGGCGTACAAGTGATAGGCCGGCGACATGGAGTCCTTGGTCGATTCCATGATAGACTTTATGCGAGCGAGACAGCTTAACATTGCGGTGGGTTTCTCTTAACTTTTTAGGGTTTGCCCAGAGCCGGATCCAGTGGGCAAGTACTCATACCTCGGGCCCCCAAAATCATGATAATATAATACATTTGAAAAAAAGAACTTCACAAAGTGTCTTTTAAAATAAATTCATAGACAAGCAACGATGGGACGGACGGATAAGAGCGCAATATCAAGTTTCTGCCCCGGTTGGAAAAAGTTTTACACTAACTTTAACACTATTATCCAACCAAAATAAGTCAAACGTCCCAATTGGACATTTTCTTTTCCGTCATTGTCAATCTCCTTTAGGCGGCCAATGCTTAACTACATACTAACTTTAATCCTTGTATCATAGTCGAATAGAATAGGGCGAATATGCCATGCTTTTAGAGTTCGTTTTACAAAAAAGTTTTCGCTTTTATTACAAATGATTAAAAAGTTACGCCAAGGGAGCACTTTCGTGAAACAGTCTATACCATGCGAGCTTATTTAATATGCTCATACAATGATTTATTAGAAATGAAAATATCGGTTTAAAAATAAATTATTACTTTATTATTGTACTTACTTATTTATACCTACTTATTCATTTTAACATTTGGATGGAAAAATATCAATGGCATATTTTCTTACCTCAATTATAATCGCAGCGCATTAAACTAAATACGGTAATCGTTTTTGATTTGTTTAGTCCAGTTGTAATGGATACCAAGTACATAGTTAAATTACAACTAAACTTATCTAATAGATCTTAATTGCCTTAGAATAAATGGATTTTCGGTGGTATTAGCGCGATGCGCCGCCCCCGTTTTTCTGGACACAGAATTTAGTGTTATGTTAATATTATATCATTAGAAAAAAATATATCACAATTATCAACTCAGAGTACCGTTGGGGCTGTAATATGCTTACCTAAGCAATAACTGATATGACGACCACCGTAGCCAAGTGGGTTGCAAGCCAGTATCGCTGTCTAAGGTCCCGTGTTCGATACTGGTCAGGTCAATATAGAAATGATTTTTTCCATATTATCTCAGATCTAGGTGTCCTCACTAGCTTTTGATTTTCATTTTAGAATATGAGCAATGCACCAATCGTACGAATTTAAATATTGACAATTCTATTTCTCAGAAAACGAAATTTAGTTTATTTTCCAAATTCTCAATACGACTTTAAAGGAAACGCATTTTTCGACGTTTTATTATGACACGGAGGTAGGACCTGACGCTGCCTCAGATGCGCATTTTATAAGTAAATTAAAAAAAAAAAGTTTATTATATTTAACTAAAGTATGTAGGTACCATTTTGTTCGATAACTTTTTGCCATCTTGTAAGTTTTCGCTCCCATTGATCATGATCCCATTGCTATACAAATTTTGGGGCATCTGATCAAAAAACCGCGGCAACTGGTTTTTGCAGTCCTCTCGTGATGTTAACCCGACACTGCCTAAAGAATTCTGAAGTGATCGAAACAGGTCGAAATTTGAAGATGCAAGGCAGGTCTATCCGACGCATGCGTTAACACCTACCAGCCAAATTGTCTTATTTTTTTTGAGTGGTAAAAGATGTGTGAGGTCTAGCGTTATCATGATGAAAAACCACACCCCTTCTATTGATTAATTCTGCCCGCTACCTCTCAATTTCTTGCTTTCATTTCATCAGTTGTTCGCAGTAGAGTTCAGAATCGATGGT